TAATTTAAAGTATTTTTTGTCAACTAAAAATATGAGAAATGTAATAACGATTTATTCGAGTGTTCCTCGCATTTCTCGCGTCCATCCGCCCACTTCCCACACGTTAGCTGCATAATTATGTAAAACTGTAAATTTTTTTTATATATATACACATAACTGTGACGACTGTAAGCCCCGAGATCCCCGATCCCCGAGGAGTCGCAAATCAATAGGTTAGCCTACGGATATGTAAAGCGGAAGCAACAAACAAACAAAAAAACACACAAAACACAGACAAATGTTATATGTATAAGCGTGTAATAATCGGATCCGCTGGCACATTTGCATATTGCTATTTCGAAAGATCAAACATGGAATGGACCTTGGATCTTTCGAAAACCAAATGGAAATGTGTCGAGGGAGTCGGGTTATATTGAAGAGATGTAGAAGAGCACAGGGAGCTGCGGGTCGTGCGGATAAGAGGTCGATGAGAATGCAAACGGCAAGAGATAAACCACAAAATCACAAGAAAAAACCACTAAAAAGAAGCAGTGGCCACAACATCAGCCAGACTTTATAAAAGGATTCTTCGATTTTACGAAGGATTTTCTAATTTATTTAAAAATAAAATAAAAAAAATTGAAAAAAGAAATCTATTGGTATTATTAAATGGGGGGGAAATGGGAATTTCGTTTCATTTTGAATTTATAATCAAAAATTTGTAAATTCCCCAAAGAACACAAGCTTAAAATTGAATACCTCTTCAGATCTGGAATTCGGGGATAGGGTATATACGTAACCCCCATAAAAATACAATTTTTTTTCGGTTTTCTTCATCTTTATTGTTTTTTCTTCATTCGCTGGCATTGAAATTCATCATCATTTCCTTGCGCATCAAATCAACCTTATCTCTGTTTTGCTATATAATTCCTGTGATAACGGTATTATCTTCACACGCCGACGGCTTTATCATTTTTTTAATCTTAATTATTCTTAAATACATTAAAAAAATACATAAAATATTTTGTTGGTTTCTGTTTTTTTTTTGTTTTAAATATCAGTTCTGTTCTCGTTTTCGCATTCGATCTTGAATTTAACGAACTCGGAAAAGCAGAAATTTCATACCGCCCTAGAACTTTTAAATTTCTTGGCTCTTTTGGGTATGAAAATAACTAAAATTCCGGTTTCGTTTAATTTTAAAACCCAATTTGAAATTTGGGAACAGGTCTGGATGTGTATGTGTGTGTACATATATAAATAAGCTAACGGTATATTGTTTATATGTTATATGTATATGTATTTCTATATAATTATATGCACTCTCAGATTTCGAAAAAAGTGAACACCGAAATGTTTCGAATTCGGCTCACGTTCGGTTTTGGTTTTTTTTTTACTGTTGTTGTTGTTGTTATTGCTGGTTTTGGGTTTTCTGCTTTCGATTTTTCCAAGTTCTTGAAGTAGTACGCTTTGAAGAAGAAGCAAATAGGCTGGGGAATCGGAATCGTTAAAGGGTTTTATGGGTTTTTTTTGGGGGTGGGGAAGGGAAATAGAAATGAGGGAACAGAGGTGGGTATCCGGCCACTTGACTTAATATTTTAAAGACTATTTATAAATCGGTTTAGCCCCTTTCATTTCACTTAATAAATAAAATGCAAAGAATATATAGTTGAATAAACTTGTTCAGTGTGTCCTGAGTTTTAGTGCAATTCGCAGAGTGAAAAGTAATCTAATAACAGTTTAAGAAAACTTTTTCAGTAAAATAAATGTATTAAAAAATATATGTATATTTCCGTATAAAATTTCCTTAACATTTTGCATTGAAAATATTTTAGCTTTAAAATAAGAAAGGAAGTAATTTCAATAAGGCAGCGTTTTTAAAATAAACAAAACAAATTTATAAGTACAAATATTTACGGACAAGAAGGTCTGCAATTTAAAGGTATAGCGATACATTTCATAATTTTGTTTTGCTATTAGATTATTTTTTACCCTTTCGTCCAAAGCTCTGGCCACACTGCACCTGATCCTATTTTCCTTCTTTTTTCGAACAGTGTTTGTTTCGTTTCTGTATGTGTGTTAATGGCTTTTCTGCTTTTGGATCCAGCGTTGAAGATTTTGATGTTGGTCCTTCCTGTCTATCTGGGGTTTTTTCGTAAACATATTCTCGCTCGCTTTTCCAAATGTTTGTTTTCAGTGTGGCCCGGCCTGTATGTGTGTGTGTGTGATTGAGTTGAAGTGTCTATGTGTGGGTGTGTATCGGCTGCTGGACTGCTTGGCTGCACTGCTTGCGCTTAGAGGCGCTTGGGGACCGTATCGGCATTATTCTCAGGCTCTTCGTCCTTGGGCGGCTGACCACGTTGCTGCACGGATCAGCAAATTACCATTATCGAATCGTATCAGATCATACCGGATTGCAAAAAAAAAGCACACACACATGAAAAAAATTGGAAAAGAGTAGAAAGTAGAAAAAGAAAGCGGAAGAGAAAGAGAAAGAAGAAACACACACATCAATATCAATTCGATCAATTGTAGGAGTAAATTGGTGTAAATACGACCGTGTTCCCAATTCGGCAGGATCAATTTTCATAAATTTCACATTTCGGAGATCAAAATATAGTTGAATGTAGCTTTTGATTTAATTGTTATACATTATCAATTTTAAAATGGAAAGCCCTTTACTGTTTTTATATTTCTGGGCTATTACATATATTAGAAGTTAAGACTCTGATTCCGAAAATGAACTTTAAAATTTATGACTTTTTTCCTAAATATATGGAAATGTTAAATTGCTGATCACCGAATAAAATTTATTCCGCAATTGGAAACCGGTTAAACGATTATAATGGTATGGAATGGCTGCAGGGTGTCGATCTGAACCGTGAATGTCTATACCAAATGAGTTGGCCGAGCCAATGGAAAAGTCCCATGGGAAATCCGGGGAAACATGGCGGTGATATGAATGTCCTTCTAAATCTCCAAATTCTAAGTTATCTTTATTATGTGTGTGTCTCTGCGTCTCTGTGCTTCATTTATTTCGCCAATTTATTTAACATTTTCTGCGGTCCTCACGGAAGTTTTAAAGATTTAAGAAAAACAATTTCATAACGCCACAGAATAGAACTAAAAACTGATTTTAAATTAAAAACGTTCTTTAATTTTAATATTAGAAATCAATTGTATTCACTGCTCCATTTATATAAGCTGTTCCCTAAACTTTGTCGTTAAATACGTTGGATTTTTTATTTAAATACTTTATTTTCCACATCTTTAAAGCAGGTCCTCAAAAGAAAAATATTACATTTTCTTAAAAAGATTCTGAAAAGTATGCTTTAAAAACTCTAATACTTTTCTGTACGATCTGCGGCTTGTTTTTCGAACGTGATTATTGATATTATTGTTTTTAAATCTCTATAGTTTTCACGAAGACCCCCAAGTGTGGTTGTAAGTCGTGCCAGTGATAAGATAATCGAGGAGATGGAGAAGCAAGCAGTGCCAAATATAGTGTACATGGGTAGGTGTTTTTATGGCGAGTGAGGTGCATGTTTAGACCCATTTAAGTTAATAATAAAATTAAACCAATGATGTATAAGTTTAGCATATTTATTTTTGACTGTTTATTACTGTATTCGATTGACATTCTCATTCGGATGGGCGCTAAGCGGGTAAAATGTGGGGAATACAAAATAAATTAGGCCAGGCGGATGCTGCAGCTGCCAGCTTTTGTCACCACCGGTTTTTACAATGTTGTCGTTGAAGAATGATGGCTCGAGAAAGATTTGTAGAACAACATCTAAAATACGAATTCTCCTTGGTTAAATTCTCTATAAATCGAACTAAGCCTGAATTTTGTACCTCTGTCTCTAAATAGTTGCTAGCAATCATAAATTTCAATTTGAGTTCCCTTTTACCACATCATCAAGCTACCAGACCTCTTGAAATTCTTAAAATAAAATATATTTGAACTCTTTCTGTGATTTGAATGCTAAAAATTATTTGAAAACTATTCTGACAATTTAAAATCTTTTTGAAAAAGTAGTTTTCATTTTTTTTTTAAGATGGTCTACAAAATATTTGAACATTATTTGTGCCACTTTATGGCTCCATAAGTAACAGTTTCGTGCGAGTTAAAGAAGTTCGTCTGTGGAAAATGAAACAACGGTGATCACTCGGCCTCGGCCTCGGGATCAGGGCGACTCAGGATCTCCTGACACAGTGCAATGTAGTCCTTGAGGAGGTGCAAAGCATAGCATAAAGAAGGGTTAAATCAAATTAAAAAAGGTAGGCGATAATACCCAGGACCAGGGCACATGGAACATGGAACACAGTGGTGACATATAGTTTTATTCCTCGTTCGTGCTTTGTCGGGGATCTTGTTGTGGACTGAACACGCAAACCACCCACATAGTAACATACAATTACGATCAAAATAATGGCTCGGCTCGGAAATATGAGAATAATTTAAAATCTGTAGCTAATTACATTTTTCCAGTAGACTGATAAGCCCCGAGCTTCTATTTTGACTGTATCTGTAAGTGGGATCGTGGGACACTTAATGCGAGGGTATACTCTGATTCGTTGTGGCGAAATGATAGACTGCGTTTTGTATTAAATATCAGTTTTGTTTTTATTTTAGTTATTGTTATTATTACTTTTGTTCTCCATTATTTTCATTTCTCGTTTCGTTTTATTTTCTCATTAATTAATTGTAAACAGTTTTCTGCACACTCTCAGATTAACTTATCAACGGTCCTCGGCCTTTCTATCGATCTCTATATAGATTTCCATATATATATATTTATACTTTATTTCTAATTTTCTTAAAAAACGTTCTTCACTTCTCGTTTTATTGTTTGTGTGTTTTGTTTTGCGTTCTCTTAATTACGCAAATATTCATATTGATCTTAACAACATAAAAAAACAAATTTAATTAATTCGTTTTGGCAGAAGAAATGCAATTCTATATTATTACAATTGGGGAAATGCTCTTGGAACTACATACAAATAAGTTTTTAGAATTAAGGAATTAAAAAAAAAAAACAACAAGGGGGAGGGGGAAGAATTCAGTAGAACTAAAAATGGAAACGATTCTGAATTGGACCCTTAAAAAACTAAACTATACCGATTAATGCCGCTACAACTGGAACAAAGCCAAAGCTATATATGCATGTATTTTTTTTAACTATGCTGAACACACACAATCTGCAACGAGTTTTAAATGCTGGCTTTTCTTTACGATTTATTCATCATTCGTTTTCTTTGCGTTTTTGATTGATTGTTGAACACTGCCACAAGTTTGTTATTGCTTCTGCGAACGATTAGGCAACACTTGCCGTTTCTTTTGGTTGGATTACAGTGTGTGCACACCATGGAAAAAGGATGCAGCTCGTGGTCCTTTTTCCATTTTTTCCTGCTTGTCCGTGCATGCTCATGAGTGTGTGGGTGTCTCTGAGTGTGTGTTTGTTTGACTGTGTGTGTGTCTGTGTGCTTTTTGGGGCTTCTTCTATGCTCGTTCGTTAAGTTGCTTGAGTGTTGCTGCCATTTCTCTTCCTCTTTTCATCCACATCCTTATTTTCCAATCGGTTGCCTTTCTTCTGTTTTTCTTTTCTTGCTGTGTATGGTGTATTGGGGTTCTGTGTGAGTGTGTGTGTGGTGTGTTTTTGTATGCGTGAGTGTATGGGGATGACTGTATTGGATGCTGTATCTCTTGATTTTCGGTTACTTCTTTGAGGGAGCTGGGTTTTCGTTATCCACAATATTCTTGCCCGGCATTTTCTTGGGGAACTTCAAGTTTTGGTAGGCGTTAATGGCCGCTGCGGGACTGTTAGGGGTTTTTTTTATTAGCGTTGTCGTTTACATAAATGCTGATCGTTATTTGAGTTCTTTATTATTTGGAAGTACTACGTTGCATATATCGTTGTTTTCTCTACTTTAAATTACTTTCTTCTCTTCCTATATCTCTCTTTCTCTCACACACAATTTCTTCTCTGTCTAATTCGAGTCTCTTTTTTGTTTGTTTGTTTTCTTTTTTGGTCAAGTGTTGCACTGCCAGTGTTGTAAAATGCCACACAAAAAACATACATACATCAAAGGTGACGAAACGAACAGTTATTAAATACAAAATAATCGGTTAATTGACTAAAGCAACTAAATATTATATTATGCATGTGTGTGGGTGTATGTGAGTGTTTGTATGTACGTGTGTTTGTTTAGTCCTGGAACTTAAACTTCAATCCGTAGGATTTCCTGCTCTCGGTAATACTAAAATCTAACATAATACACATGTTTTCGAATGTTTTTATATAGATTAGATTAAAAGAATTGAAGTGATTTAAATAAAAATCGCATGAGGTTTTAACATGTTTCAGTGTGCTAAATGAATCGGTGTGTGTGTGGGGAGGATTTCCTTTCATCTATTTCTTTTTTTTTATACAATTTTTTCTGTTTAATGTTTAATTTCTTTTTTTTTCTAAATATAAACGCAATTTGTTTTTTTTTTTGTATTTTTTTAGTTTATATATTTGTATAAATGATTCTTTGCTCCTGGCGCTCAAAAACCTCAATACAGTTGTCTCTCTCCGTCTCGCTTCTCTGTCTCTCAGTGTGGTTGTGGTTGTTGTTGTGTGTTGCTGTCTATCGGTCTTCCCGTTGTAAACTATCATTTCGATTTTTTATTGATTTTTGTTTGGTTTACATGCAGTTGAATGGATTGTTTTTGTTTTTGTTGTTGTGTTCGTGCGTATGTATTTGTGTTGTTGTAGTTGTTTTTTTTTATTGTTGGTGGTTTTATTGAATTAGTTTTTCTACACCCAATGTTAAGAATCGATCGATTGGAGCGATCGATTGTAGATCGATAGGTTTTGTTTTTATGTCAGACAGGCAGAGACACGTTCAGATTCATTATCATATTCAGGTTCAGGTTGTCGATCGGATTTTATGGATGTTTGATTTGATTTGGTTTTTGTGGTGGTGGTTGGTTTGGTGGTTTTGTATGTGTGGGGAGAGAAAACAAATAAAAAAAGATATAATATATATATATGCTTAGTTGAATGATTCTTAGGTGGCGTTTTGTTTTTTTTAGTCAATATATAGATTTTTAGATTGAAAAATAATATACAACAAAAAAGATGAGAGAGTATGGTTATAGGGGAAGAGGATAATAGCTAGTTATTGAGTTTTAAATTTACCGCTCGTAGTGGCATTTTAAAATTGGCTGCTGCCTGCAGCTGAATTTGATAAGCTAAGCTGTGTATTTTAAAGCCATACAGCCTGCACGTCGTTCAAGTTGTCGTTGTTTCGGATTGTCGCAAACATAGAATAAGAATGTAAATTGATGTACAATTAAATCAGGGTAATTTCCGGCAAATCTCAGTCAAATCTCACCTTGGAACAAACTGATTAGTAGGACGCTTGGGACGATACTCGGGATGCACCATGAAGAGCATGTGTGGAAATCCAGTGCCAAAATAGGCGCCATCGGTATGGTGGTGGCGCGACGATTTTGGTGTGTACACGTCAATGCACTTGGGGCAATAGGTCTTCACCATTGCCTCGCCGGGGATGTCCGACAGACCTGAAGATTGCAGACAAAATCATCAAATTAGGCTTGTTGAGTTAATTTGTCAGAAATGCATATATGTAAGTATAATTAAGAGTTTGTGGTTTTGAAACTGAAGTTTATCTTGCTCAGCTCAAACTATTTTGTACTGTACACTGTTCTCTATATACAGAGATAACTCCTTTTAAAGTTGAGATAAGTAACTTGAGTCTCTACAAATATTTAAGTAACGACGAATTTTTTTCTTCTAGCCCAATTATTTTTATCTCAACCGATTTCTGGTCTTTACCGGTGCTAGTCTCTGAGTTTTAAGGATATCGTGATGAAACTTATTTATTGCAGGAAGTATGTAAGTCGGAAGGAACCGAATCGTTCAACTGTATCCTATAGTTCACATAGGAGTGATCGGAAAAAATACACAAAATTGTAGCTTGGTTGTTTCTTGCCTACTTTGGGCTCTTTCTTACGATTTTAGAATTGATTTGATTTATATCATATAGCTGCAATTAGAAAATTAATAAGAACATAATGTAAACAAAGTATAGCTTCGTTGTTTTCGATCGTACTCTCTTCGATTCTGGGGTATAACATCCTTTTAAGATTTTAGAATGTCAATTTTTTGTATGTGAAAATCGGACGACTATATCTTATAGCTGTTATAGAAACTATCCTTATATTTATATGCAAATCTTCCGAATATACGGTTTCTACGGGTATAACAACTTCGGCTTGCCAAAGTTAGCTTCCTTTCTTGTTTTTCTAGAGCTGATTGGCAAATCATATCCAACTCAATGATTTTTTTTGCCTTTATATCAATATGAGTTCTATGGGCGTATGCAAGTGCCATTGCAAAGAATCTAGCAAGATTACGGAAGTTACACGATAAGGGTCACGCCCTGCCAAAAACCTTTTTGGTTCTAAGAAGTGCTTTTATAAATTCACTATGAACCGTACTTTTTTAAGAGCAACAAGTCTTAATCTAGAAACAAATCTAAGGAAGATATTAAAGGTGAATCAAAACGCTGAAGACAAATCAGGGTTATAGTAAAGGTTCTGGACTTTTCTAGCTCGATCTATCTATCTATTATCTATCTGTAAAATATATAATGTGCTTTAAATGTCGAATTTCATTGGCCCTGATTGGTTTTGTGAAATACAAGCGAAATGTTTATTGCTGTCATCATATTCAGGTCTGTTTGATTGTTTACAATTTGGCGGAAATACGAGAAGGAGCAGTTCTCAGGGTTGGGATTTCAAGTTATCATCGTTTTTGCGTACAGCTCTCTTATTTACATAAATATTTAGGTAATAGAGAATTGTTTATAAAGCCTGTCTAGCCCATGTATTTATTTTCACGGATCTTGCATGAGTTTGCGGAATTGTGTAGTTTGCTTAAAGCGCACCAAAATGAAATCTTATCTTATATTTGTATATGAATTTGATTTGACATTAAGCTGATGGGTCGGATCTTTTATCTCATTGACTCTAAGGAAATATATCAATTATTATAGCTACCTCCTATTGACAATTAACTTCGTATTATGTCGACAAACGTAAGAGCTAGGGAAGTTTCTGGAGTGATTTATGTATCTCTGGCAGTAGAACAGCTCTTACAATGTTGTAAAATTTAAATATGGTTTTGTAATGGGCTGATGTCAGAGGGGTCGCGAGAAGCGATGCATTCTGCTTTGAGCTAAGCTTTTCGCTTTGCTGTCACTGTGAAACCTGTAAAAACCCTTACATGTCTATTTTGACATCAGTCTAATAAAAAACAATATTTATTATGAGGGCAGAATGTAATGATATATAACTTGACAAGAAAAAGCTGGGGGTTTCTTTTTACAATTAGCAATTATAGAAAATTGTATATATCTTTTCGCTGGGAAATATCCTACTTGGGTTGGGTTAATGCTGAATGGATCTTTGATCTTTAAGCTCAGATCTAATCGATTATGTAAAATAAATGAATAGATGGTTCTACACGTATGTATATTCTTCTGATTGTTTGATTGAAGCTCAAGATCAAAATCAATATGGAAATTACAATAAGCGAATGATCCTATCTTGAGGAATGTTAATTTCAGAAAATAAAGAAAGGTAAACATTTTTAAGGTTTAGCAGATAATGTAAATGAATAACAGATAATTCAGGGGAGTATAGGAGTTATTCCGCATATTAAATGTTTAAAAATGCCTAAGATGTCTAAAGATATTATGGAAATTTAAGTAGTGGTTATATGATATTAAAGAAGCCCTAGTTTCTCGAGCTAAAGGCATGACAAGTAATGTAATTCTTTTAGGGATACTTAAACTGGTTATTCAAGGATGTTGTACTATAGGTAATATTAATAATTGAAATGGTATGTTTCGCAAATTGATCGCAGACTATGGTGGTTATCGGTTCTACTAGGGATAGCTTATGCTAGACCGATCCCTCAAGGATCTGTTTACGCACCCAATGGCAGCATAGGCTGACTTTCGCAGTAGACACGTGGGCAGTGTCCGAAATCGCCAGTTTGATATTTCTCGATCATTTGAGCGATGCCGCGATTTGTTAGTATATATCTAGCGTGTATGAGGCCGTAGAGCATCTCGGCGGCCTGCTCGGTCATGTCGGACTGCAGGGGATTGTCCTCGAGCTCGTCCTCTGTGGATTGTATGATATTTTAAATATGATATATTATAAGTATATGGATTCAAGGGAAGGAAATAAACCGATCTTACCCGGCTCCAGATCCAAGATCATGTCCAAGGCCTGGCGATAGTTGGGCACCTGCTCATTTAAACCAGTTAAATTGAATTTGTCCTGTATGTAGTCCTCGTCCACCTGGAATATGGGAATATAAGATTTTAAGAAATTAGATCTGTCCAGGAATATGATATGCACATATATGTATTTATACATATGTACTTTGTATATAGCTCCTGCTGATGTGTGTGTGTACAGTTGGACACATTATTGCCCCACCTTGCGGCACACACAGACACACACACACACACAGGAGAGCTCAGGGCTGCACTTTGCAATTGTTGCACTTATAGCGCGCGCTTAGATAACGCGAATATTGGCATTAAAAGGGGCAATCGGTTTTGGGCGGGTAATATCTCACCTCGCAGAAGAACTCATTGCCACGAAGTCCACAGAACCAGGTGACCCAGGAGACTTCCTCGGAGCTGCTCATTTTGCTGCAAAATAATCGAAGGGAATTTGGAATTGATGATTTATATTTTTGCTGTCAAATTATCCTGCACACGCACACCACCATGCACATGTCACACACGTACACCCGCATTCGCACACACACACACACACACACACATAGACACACGAGCGCAAACATATAAACGCTCACGCACTATTACATACATTAGGGGGATTATTTTGCGTAATTTGGGCCTGGCGTGCGGAATTTATTGTTGAAATACCATGGAACGCAAACTTGACGAAAGTTTTTCCACTTTTTCTCTTTTCCTTCTTTTTGCCTCCGCTTCTTGTTGCTCGCACACACTTCCACACACACCATACACTCTTCTTTGCGCTTCTTTTTGTGCTGATTTGGTTAGCGTTTGCCTTTTTGTTTTTCTTTTAATTTTTAGTTCGGTTTCCGATGTTTTTTTTTTTTCAGAGTTACTGCTGCTCGAGAGCGATCGCACCGTTCGAATGTGGGGGGAAAAATGAAATTTTTATACTCGTATTTTGACAATTGACAAGCGCTCATACAAAATGTGCCGAGCAGTAAGAAGAAGCACACTCTGGTGGAAATTGAGAAAAAAAGAGACACATATACAGGGGCCACTCACACACACAAACACACACAGGCACACGCGACGTGCACACACGCACGCCTTTACACTGAGGAGCGCAAGCAACGCACACAGGTCCGCTGCTTTGCATTATTCCCGCTGCGGCCGTCTTCCAGCGTACTTCCAGTGGCTAGCACTCACCTAAATTGTTATTAATTACGCAAATTGATTGACGTTTGCAATGCAGCAGAACCGGTAAAGGCAAATATTGTAGTGAAGACGGGGTACCAGGTATGCAATCGCGCCTATCGATAACCGCTGCCTGCGCTGTCCGCAGGCGATTGTCAATCGCTGGCATAGTGCCATCGCTAGGCGATATATCGCCATGTCAGGTTTGCGCGTTTTGCAACACTGCTTTGGGAGAGCAAATCCAAATATAATTTAATATTATTTAAAGAAATTAGTTATAAAGTAACATGTATTTAAAACTATACAAATTTGATTCACATTCAACACGGAAATATGCCTTTTATTATGCTAGTGATCTTAGTTTTGGGTACTGTTAGGGTGTTTTTACCTTTTACTGGTGTGGGCACACTACTTTAAGGGTTTTAAAAATTAAGGCATTTTTTATTTCAATAATTCGAATATTCCAATACGATTCAAACTAAACCAAAATAGGTTTACAATTCCGTTTAGTGTTGGGTTTCATATTAAGTATCGATATGATTATTCCGTATATCGATGCATACATTAAAAGGATAAATTTAAATGGCGGGTAATACGAACAACCGCTTAAAATCGCTGTTCACATAGAGAACCGCTGTTGCAGAAACAGCTGGTCGGCTTAAAAAGCCGAAAATAAAATAAAATACAATTTAAATATTAAGAAGTGGAATTTTGTAGCGGAGTTGTAACGACATTACCCCTCTTTTTCTAGCTCATGTACTCCTTATGGAAGAAAATATCACTGAAGCGAAATTTGATCGCTGATTTAAAAATCCCTCTGTCTGAACAGACTATAATACCGAAATTGATTAATATTTGTTTTGTTTTATTTTTATCCTTTAATTAAAAAAAAAAATGTCTGTCTAATTATATTACACATTTTTTCAAAATAATATTTTAATGAAAAAAAATTATTTATTTAAAAGTTTAGATAAGCATACATTTTAATACGTCTTTAGTTGTGCGATTAGTTTACTGTCACAGCTTATTGACAATTTTGAATATTTCCTTGGCCTTCTGGCGACCATTTACCACGTACGCCAGCGGATCGTCCTGACTTGATTCCATCAGGTGGTCGCAGGATTCCTGCCCGATGTCGAACATAAAGGATGCGTCGATATCCTGCGGCAACTTGCCGCGCAGGAAGCTAATCTCGTTGTCGGCCAGTGCCGGTTTCCGGGCCAAAAGCAGGGCGGACAGGTAGCGCGGCTGCTTCTTTTTCTCGGCACAGTGCATCACCAAACCCCAGGTGTCGTAATCCGTGTCCAGGACGTACGTGTTGTAGATGCCCTCATCTGGAATGGGACATCCTTTGGTTATGGTTTATAATAACATTGCCAACTTAAGTGGTAGTATCTTAAAAAATATTATTTAAGTGTCAAAGATTTATTCTAAGGATATCCTAATTAAAATGGCTGCCAAAAGGCTGAATCAGCCAGGACCTAAATTTCAAGGCATACTTCTGGGCACATCTTTTTGTTGCATATTTTTAGGCCCTTATTTTCGTTGCATACTTTTGGGTACTTCCTAAACTGCAATCTGGGGTGCTATTAAACGTCTTCCAATTAATTTCCCCGACTAGGCATTAGGTTTATTACTCACATATATCCTCAGTGTGCTGCCAATGTCCTGGTTCCTCGAATCTGGGTATCATCCAGGTGATGTTGCCAACAAGCTTTTCACGCAGTGGATCCTCCGCGAATATATAGCTAAAGTTCATCGTTATCTATTCGGAATGATATATATTATAGATATTGATTGTATAAATATTCCCAATTCAAACCCACATGTTGATCTTCCTTCGAGAAGGAAAAGTGACTGCGCATGCAAGCGTATTCCGGCAGCTCCTCCGTGGAGGCATAATACTGCACCACGTACCAGCAGCCCATCATCCGCTCCAAATCAAAGTTCTTTATGGCACCCACCTGTAAGATACAGATATATTGTGACACTTTAACCAGTCAAAATGGAAATACTACGTAAAAATAAATTTGTCAATTTGTTTAAGTGATTGTTTGAAAATAAGAAGTGATCATATTAAATATACCAATTTTCAACACTTTAAGATTCATAAAATGTTTGAAATATATGTGTACCATGCATATTTGTTATTAAATGTAATATATTCAGGTCTGTTTTTGTCGTTATAATGATAAACTTATAGTGATAAAGTTAGCCTAGATTTCAAAACATTAAAAGAGACTTCTCAAGAGGTTGAGAAATACTATTAGAGAATTTCAAAATGGTTTGAAACCTTTAAAAAGATATTATTTCATATTTTATGATATATATTTTAAGCCTTGCAAAAGCCTAAGATTTGCTTATTTTAATAAGAATAATTGATTTCGCCTGAAAACTATGTTCTTTTTTTGGGGATTTTTAGATATGCTTGCTCCTGTAAATGTTTTGGAAGTATTGGTTTCAATTAAGATTTCTATTTTAACTTCCTTTTCTTAGATAAGAAACATATGTAGCCCCATATCAGCGTATTAAAGAGGAGCTAACATCCTAATGTACAACCAATAATAAGAAACTAAATGTGATATTCGAAAGGTCAAGGCTGCAAGCATGCAAATAAATAAAGCAAATAAACATTTAGGCCACAAATGCCTTGGCTATTTTCCCTCTTTAACTTGGCTGGTTGCATTTATTTACATTGTTTGCCTTGGCGACCACAAGACCAAACAGACTTCGGTAGGTGAAAGAGTTAGAGAAGCGACAGACGACGAAAGCCGTTAGCGCTGTCACCGTGATTGACTACTGACAGTTCATTGAGGAGTCGGAGTCGGTTCGTCTCTGTTGCCGTCTCTTTCTGCGTCGCTGTTGCCGTCTCTCTCGCTGTCTTGCAAGACGCGACTTGCAGACGCGAAATGCAGACGCAAGTCAGCCTCTGATTGATGCGCCTCAAAAGCGCATTGCCCCGCATGTGCCGCCCCCTTTTCACTCCCCTTTCACTCCGCTGTCTTCCCGCTGACTCTTTCTTCCCGCCGCCTCTTTCTTCAAGTCTCTACTACGTGCGTGTCTTTTGTCTATTCTTGTTGATTGTTTTCTGGCTTTTGGCTCGCTTTTCGGTGTTTGCACTTGCATTTGTATTTGTGTGACTGCACCTGCATCAAAGTGCAATTGTCGCCGCCAACGGAGATGCAGACTGGGGGCTGGAGAAAGGGAGGGTGCTGAAGACAGCGAGAAGCAGACGACGTCTGAGCCACTTAGAAAGTGTGATTGATTTTGGCATCGGTGTGAGCCCATTTCTTCTGCCTGGCTCTTTCTGTGCCTGGCTTTTATGTCCCATTCATTCTTTTCGCTAGAGATGGAACGTGCTTACCAAGCGATAGAAGGTTAGGACTAAACCACTCACCTATTATCAGTTACCATTCCCTGTGATCAATGTATTTTGAGGGGCTTACATTTCCTGATAAAAAAAGACTTGTGAAAGATAAAAAGTTTTCTTAAACCGGTTGGGAATTATAGAGCACAGCTTGAAGTTTTGAAGATTTAACCAACTATAGGTTTTTTTTAGAGTTTTGATCAAGGCAATAACATATGACAAAGTCAAATGAGTGATAATTGTCATGCGACACGATTGACTGAAAGACAATTACTTAAAAATTCAAAATCTTTAGATTAGCCGTTTTCTAACCCTTAACCTGTTGGGAATTATAGAGCAGAAAGGTGATGAAGATTAGAACAACTATAGGGTCTTTCTAGAACATTGATCTAGGAAATAACAGGTGAGTGACAAAGTCAAATTAGTGATAATTGTCATAAGACACAATTGATTGAAAAAGCTACAGAATAACAACTATAGAGTCTAGACTCGATATATGTATTCCCATAGCAAGTAGATGGTGCCATCACTAGTGGATTGAAATATGTCACAGTGTGCCCGGCATATTGATGAGCCTTTGAGCTTGAGTTTGGTTTTGAGATGCTTTCCTCCTCCGGCGGCTGTGCTCAGAATGAAATCGAATCGAAGCTAAGCGAAGTGAAGCGTTGCCAAAGAAAGTGATCCAGTTAGGAGAGGCCAGGGACGTGACCAGGGACGGGAACCTGTACAACCAAAACTGCACCTGCCTCCAAATATCTGATGAAGTCTCAACTGTATGCCGTTCTAGTTGTTTTGTTCTTTACCTTAGTTATTTCCATTGCCTAAAAGGTGACCTCAATATCATATATTTTCGGAACAAATGCCATCTTGTTCTTGTGAAAAGATT